ATACACACACTTACGTAATGGGTGTAGTAATGGATGTGGAAAAAAACTACTTAACAGCCCATTGTTAAATGATGCACCAAAATCACAACGGTATGGATTTCACTTTGCTTAAGGAACTGCCATTTTGGCACTTCACATGCTGAAATCTCATACAGCATAAAGGAATTTCTCCAAATACTAAGAAATAAATCTTGCCCACCAGAAAAGTCTATTCCATAATGCTGATCAAGGCATCACAGGCTGAAGAACTTTGCATAGCTTCCTTTAAAACAAGTTCTAGCTGTGTTGTAGTAGAACTACATTTCAGGAACTGTCTTAATTCCTGCTATGCCACTTGTTTAATTTCCAGAACACAAAATTGCCAATCCATAAGCTAATTTTTTTCTGCTTTTGTGAAAGAAAACATGATCTGTGGGGGGGTGCAAAACAGAAGCTTTGGGTGAACAGATCAAGATCCTAAAAAACTCCTGCAAGTCAAATACGTGTTCTCTATGGCAAGATTTTCCTGCACTTGCAGAACAGTGCTCTGGGAACAGTGAGGTGACTTAGCAATGACTAGCTCTAAGGATGCTAGTTACAATCCAGAAACAGAGCCAAACAGCACATGCCCTGTGTCTAGAGACTTGAAAACTTTGTTTTGCAGTAGTTAGAAAAGCATGCAGAGCCTCTCCCTCTCTCTCCCCCCACCCCTTCCTTCTCCCATTCTCACATTCTTGATGTGTGAGCATATGAGGAGTATGCCCAGCACTGTTTCAGTTCCATTTTAATTACAGGAAAAAAAACCTTGTCTGTGAAGAAAAATAGTATTTTGCTGAATTCTGCTATGTAACAGACAATCTTGGAGAAGCAGTGTCAGTCACCGCTGAGTACCTGCACTGGAACACTGCTTCATCCTAGAAGCTGCAGGGATGACTCTGTGCACCATGGCCGAGGAGTTTTTAAAAGAGCAGAAGACTTCTTCAAAACTCAATCAAAAAAAAATAAAGTTCCTTCAAAAGGGGGATCTTCTACAGGCAGTTGCATTTTCTTATAATCCTTTCTGCTTTGCATCCAGCATAGGTGGTATACAGCAACTGAGGCACCAAATAAGCTCAAATCTGTTCTATGTTGTGTTTGGCAAAATGTGTGTGCAGAGAGGAGATGGAGGAACAGCTCTGGATGCTGCAGTGGGAACACTCAAGGGCAGGCAGGGTGTTGTCACTTTGCACCACATTTTTTGTGGACAACATACAGTAGTGGGGAAAGAATGATTGAGTGGGGAAAGCAGAAACTGTGTGTGCCCCTAAAGATGTTACTGACATTTTTCACTATGCAGCTCTGACAGCTAAAATGTTGGTGTACTTGCAGTGTTAATGCACAGGATGGATGATGAGAGCACGTGTTACGTGAACAGCACATTAGTCTTCTCATATAATCAGAATAAGACTCTACAATCAGGTAAGACTCTGAAATGTTGTGGGAGGAGAACCTAAACCCTCCCTTGAACTCTTCCCAGCTTTCTCACTGTGGTTTCACTCTTTAATCTACCTGATGAAATGAACAATTTTATTTAATGTTAATATTGAAGAGAGAAAATCATTTTATTATAGGCTGTAGTGGGAGACCCGTGGTCTCGATCCATACTCTCATCTGTAGGATCCACAGAGTTGAGTTCATACCTCCTTTGCTGCTTCAACTCCAAAAATTTTGCTGGTAGACTGAAGGACCTCAGCGACAAAATGCAGTGACTCTGCTCCATGAGTGAGCTGTCTGATAGACCAGTTTGCGCCTGTTACTATCTTGTTGAGGTTCTGCAAGGCAAAATCTATGTTGTTTTTCACTGCCCCCAGGCTGGTCGTTTGGCCCACTTTCAGGCTTTCGTTCTCCACCTTGGAGCTCTCCAGCTCTTCCAGGAGAAGAAATATCTCCTGCTTCAGCTTCTCCACATTTTTTTCTGCCTCCGGAGCCCACTGGGACATTATCTGAAGACTACACTCAGTCCACCAGACAAAGGACTGTAGCTGTTGGGTTTCCCTCTCCCCTTTGGCCAGGATGGCCTTCACCTGCCTCTCCAGCTTCCACGCCATGCACACCTGGTTCTCCAAGGAGCTTTGCATGTCCCTGATCAGCTTCCTGAGCATGGTGTTCTCCTCCCGAAGCACATCATGGCTCAGCTGCAGGGATGGGAGCTCCCTGTCCCTGATGGCATCCTGGTGCAGCATGTGGGGCTCTACTCCCCAGCTGTGCTCTGGGTACCCCAGATAAGGGTCTCTGGAATGGGCCCATGAGGCAAAGGCATCCATCCCCAAGTGATTGCCTTGCTACACTGGAAAGAGTCATAGGAGCCACATGGTGCCACACCAGCAGTCTGGGACACACACGCCCTTTGATACACAGGAAAGTGATAGGTCTTGGTCCAGCTGTGGTCCTCATCTTCAGACAAGCTGTCAGGCATTTTTGTATTGTAAAATCCTTCTTGAAACTCTTGAGCTTTCTCCTCAAGCTCTAGTGCATGCTTGGCCAATTTATCGGCATATATTCTGTTTTTCATTTTTTCATCTTTCACTGTGTAAGAGTGCCTGGGATTTAGGGAAAATAGCATGGATTCCCAGAGATCCTCCACCTGACTGTTACTTGAGCTCTCATGGCTCTTGCACGGGGGTTGAGGATGTGCAGTGTTGTCATCATCTTATCATCTTCCAAGCCTTGAGATTCTGGGCAGACCCAACAGACATACATGGTCTTTGTTTAGTCAGTTTACGATTTCCCTAGAAAGTACTGGTTTTGCTATTGACCATAGAAATGAAAAGCCCATCTTTCATTCATGAGCACAGCAGCAACCTTCATATCTCATGGTAATGAAGTCAGGCACATCATCACAGAATTCTTGTGCATGCTGAAATTCAAGTGTCATAAAGTGCATGCATTCATTTTATCATTCACCTCCGGTCTAATAGCTCCACAGTATTTCAGCTTGCCCTTTGCACAAGGTGGCCCTACTGGTAGAACATTCTACATCAGTGGACATAGAGAAGACTGGTAGTCCCAGAGATGCCAAGCAGCCGTGACATTTTTCAGGACACTTCAGGCTGCAGCAAGCAGGAGGATTCAAATTATCCTCCTGGAACCTGGGTCACACAGGCAGGTGACACTGACAGGCAACACGCCAAGTTCTCCAGCCTCAGCAATGCTTGTGGGGGAAGAGGCAGTCACCAAAATCCCTCAATTTAAATCACCAGTGTGTTCCGGAGGGAGCAGAGGGGAGGACCAGGGATCTCTGTGTCTTTGCTGCGGGGAGAACAGAAATCACCGAGGTCTGTGATGTCATTGTGTGACTTCACTGCCGGCTGTGAGGTCATGACCAGGGGGGAGAGTGAAATACTAGGGCTGAGCAGTGAGGCCCTGAACTAAAGTTGACCTCTAGGTGAACCTCACAACCTAACAATATACCTAATATGTATAATATTGATCACATATGCAATGTATTACCTTCTGAATATATCAACAACATGACCCAGCAGTGTGCCCAGGTGGCCAAGAAGGCCAGCGGCATCCTGGCCTGCATCAGAAATGCTGTGACCAGCAGGACTAGGGAAGAGATTGTGCCCCTGTACTCGGCACCGGTGAGGCCGCACCTTGAATCCTGTGTTCAGTTTTGGGCTCCTCACCACAAGAAGGACATTGAGGTGCTGGAGCAGGTCCAGAGAAGAGCAACGAAGCTGGTGAAGGGTCAGGAGCACAGGTCTTATGAGGAGCTGCTGAGGGAACTGGGGTTGTTTAGTCTAGAGAAGTGGAGGCCGAGAGGAGACCTTGTCACTCTCTACAACTACCTGAAAGGAGGTTGTAGTGAGGTGGGTGCTGGCCTCTTCTCTAAAGTAACAAGTGATAGGACAAGAAGAAGCAGCCTCATGTTGCGCCAGGGGAGGTTTAGGCTGGATATTAGAAAAAATTTCTTCACCGAAAGAGTGATCAGGCATTGGAACAGGCTGCCCAGGGAAGTGGTGGAGTCATCATCCCTGGAGGTGTTCAAGAAACGTGTAGATGTGGTGCTTAGGGACATGGTTTAGTGAGTTAGGTGGTGTTGGGTTGGACTTGATGATCCTTGAGTTCTTTTCCAACCTTAATGATTCTATGATTCTGTAAGAGTCATCATTAAGTGCTAATATTAGGTAATCTCTCCCTTAGATCTGCTTCAGGCTCTCTACAGGTTCCACAAGAAAACACCACTGCCTTAGTCTAGCTTTAAATTCACAGGGATGAAAGTAGTAAAAACTTAGTGTCATCACTTACCAATCACACAACCAAATTCACCATGCAGATTTTGGAATCGCCTGTTTATAAAAGTGTCTTTATTGACCCTTTGTAGCCACACACCACTTGTGCAGATATGGCATAACAATATTCATGAAGAGTATGATTAGGAACAACAGAGTGCATTATCTCCTGAAAATATGAAGCCTTACATTTTAGTGCATTCAAAAATATTTAGTAGTAGTAAACGCTTTTTATAAACTTCAGAGTTTCATAGTAACATAGAAGAATGACCTCATGAATTCATAGTTACTAAGAACATTTTTTTTGGTGGTTTTATCTGTAAGAACAACAGAAGTTTTCAGATCTGCACTCATGAAGACTGACATCCTTGTTTTATTTAAATAGGACATACCTCACCAGCTGGCCAGCTTGATTCCTATTCATGGGACAGAGCTCTTTGCTGATGGAGAATTTCAGTCAGGACATATAACTCAAACTGGTTTACCTGCTAACACTTAATGTTTTTACAATTCATACTCCTGAGGACATTTCTCCAACAGAAGTTTCACCAGAAAAAGCTAATTTCGCATACATACGTTGCTGTTTAAAAACTCTTCCCCATCGTACTAGATCATAGGCTCATTTTTCTTAGACATTACCTTTTCTAAATGTAAATGTTTAAAATTACTCCGATGCATTCCAAGAAAAAAAAAATTAATGCCAAAGACGCAACTTGACTTGTCTCGTATTTCTAGCTTACTAATACAGTAAATATATTTGAGGCTCTCAAATACTAATCCGCCTTACCATCAGTAGTAGCATTTGTGACAAAATCGTTCTTCAGAATTAAACAGCATTTCCACACAGGTTTTATTTTTCTTATACAAGGTAAGTGTGTATCTATAGGTGATACATTTGTGCAAACCATTCACTTTCTGATTTGAAGTTTTAAAAATTACAGCATTACCGTAAAAAAAAGCATGCACAGTCTCTGACGGTTACTACTTCTCTAGACGAGGCTTTGCACAGATGACGATTATCTCAAGAATGTTATATTAGTTGCTCTCAGATTTCATAGTATCAGGATTGTGTCACATTGATTTTGACAGTGTTTTGGAGACTCTAAGGTTTGTTAATAATTCCAGCTGGTTTTATATGTTTGTCAGCTAACTGGTTTTTAACTGCCACAGGAGCTTACAAAGAAAGTAAGCCGGTTTCAGTTACATTTACAATATTTAAGTGCATTTTTATTTGCATTTCTTTCAGTTTGAACAATGAAAATGTATGGACATTCAAAATATAGGCACTAAACACCCAGTTAACAGCACTGCAGAGGAATAATTAAATTCTTTCCTCTGAAGTTAGATTTCCCTGAGACAATTATATTAATTATTTCACTGTTTACTGTAACTAAAAAAACCTAAATTGTAGCCCAACAAGATGAAAGTCTTCAAGTGGAGCACGAGTAACGCAGGAAGGAAGGACAGGATCTGCCAAGTGCTTTTATGCAGTATTCATTTATATGGTTAGTTAAGAGTTCTAGTATGAAATAAACAAAAAAAAAAAAAAATGCCTGAAGAATTTTGTCTATAAGAAGCATGAAAAAAAAAACCCAAAAATACTATTCAATTTTTTAAAATCATAGAATGGTTTAGGTTGGAAGTTACCTTAAAGATCATCCAAGTTCCAACCTCCCTGCTATGGGCAGGGACACCCTCCACTAGAGCAGGTTGCTCAAAGCCTCATCCAGCCTGGCCTTGAACACCTCCAGGGATGGGGCATCCACAGCTTCTCTGCACAACCTGTTCCAGTGCCTCACCACCCTCACAGTGAAAAATTTCTTCCTAATACCTAAGCTAAATCTGCCCTCTTTCAGCTTATACCCGTTACCCCTCGTCCTGTCATTACACTCCCTGATGAAGAGTCCCTCCCCATCTCTCCTGTAGCCCCCTTCAGGTACTGGAAGGCTGCTATTAGGTCTCCCCGGAGCCTTCTCTTCTGCAGACTGAGCAACCCCAACTCTTTCAGCCTGTCCTCATAGGGGAGGTGCTCCAGCCCTCTGACTATCTTTGTGGCCCTCCGACCATCTTTGTGGCCCTCCTCTGGACTTACTCCAACAGGTCCATGTCCTTCTTATGCTGGGGACTCCAGAGCTAGATGCAGGTGGGGTCTCACGAGAGCAGAGTAGAGGGGGAGAATCACCTCCCTTGATCTGCTGGTCACACTTCTTTTGATGCAGCCCAGGACACGGTTGGCCTGGGCTGCAAGCGCGCACTGCTGGCTCACATTGAGCTTCTCATCAATCAGCACCCCCAAGTCCTTCTCCTCAGGACTGCTCTCAATTCATTCTTTGTCCTGCCTGTATTTGTGCTTGGGATTGTCCT